TATGAAAGTGATAACTCTTTTTCATTACTACTTAAAACGGTTACCATCATTTGAGTGCGGTACGGTTACCATACCGTACCATGCCCAGCCCTAAATGTAGGCACCTAGATCACTGTCATAAGATCTGACCAAGTGGTGTTCTCTATATTTTCCATCCAAGATTTATATGGGGGCAAAAAAATCTGTGGGGAACTTGATCATTATATATCCAACTAAATACAAAGCACCATACACACACAAGAGGCTGCTACAAAGAACCATGTTTTATTATTATTATTATTATTATTATTTTAACAAAGGCAATTTAGAGGAAAGGGGCGAGTTTAAACTCGGCTCATGAGTTTAAAGGTACATCTTTTAATTAAATAGCCTATAAAATCAAGTGCCATGCTTTTTAATCTTTTCTTACACATTCAAGTCCTCAGCATCAAGTTTTTAGAAATAACTAAATAAAAGTGCTCAAGTGCCTATCTTTTGATTGTATATATAAGGGACAAGACTTAAGTTGTCTTGAGTTTAATTTACTTAACTATTTATTGATAATAAGTAAGCCTTTATAAATTCATTTAAATTCTCATTTATTTTTTATGTGAGATGTTAACATTTACAAATTATTCAACATTCTCCATTAGTTTGAAAATATTAATTCAGTTTTACTCATCAAGAAATATGCTTAAAAAAAGTATCTCTCGATTTAAACTTTTTATTAATGTATATACCTCATATCTAATAAAGTTATTGGTGTCCTCATCCCTACTTGTTGAAGTGGCACCACCATTTAGGTGGAGTTCTTTATGTCCCTAAGAGACAGCACTTAACTAAAGCAAGAAATTTTGGTTTTACTCATTAAACTTTAAATTTAGAAATAACTAAATTAAAGTGTCCAAGTGCCCATTATGTATATATAAGAGGTAAGGCCTAAGTTGCTTTAGATTTCATTTTATTAAATTATTTGTTGATAATAAGTAGGTGTCTATAAATTTCTTTAAATTCTTATTCTTTCTTGACGTGGGATGTTAACATTTACAAATTATTTAACAAACTATAATGTATGTTCATTTGTTTTTGAATAATATTGATACTTGCTGCTCCCTGAATTGAGGCCCAGAGCACACCCACGTTTGTTCTTTCTTCCTATATATATATCAAAAATTGTTATGAGCTGATGCATGTAAAACAGCGTAAGGTTTTTGGATCTTGCCTAGACATGGTTTTATTTGATGGTTGTTGGCTGTCTAGACTGAGATTGAAGAACAAATGCCTATTGAATACTAGAGGCATATATGTCTGTGGATATATATACTATGTGCTCATTCGATCTGTGGGAACTCAATTTCAGGAGAGTTGTGCTCGATCTGCTCACCTATTCTTTATTAATTGTGGTTACTGTGGGAAAGTATGGAAATTGGTTTTCGCACAATCCTTTGTCCCTCTCAAATGAAAACATGGAAAATTAGCAACAAAACAGTGAGCCAAAAAGCTGAAATTTGCCTTTGCGGCACCTGTTTTTTCTATGCTCTCTGAAGGGAAAGAAATACCGTCATATTCCAAGGGTAAACATAATCTATTAGTTTTTGCTTTGAGCATATATAGAATTTTTGTGTAGACGACCGAGCTGGGTATGCCTGGTCAGAGCTTTGTAATTCCTTTTGCGCCCCCTTGGCCTCTTCCATCCTCCGTCCTTGTTTGCAGGCTTGATTTGAGCTATAAAAGTTAATTGAGTACTTGCCTTTGTGAAAATAACCAGCCAATTGTAGGTAACATGATTTGGCTTTACAACAAAAGTGTCCTTGAATCCCCCGAGAACTTAGTTTAATTGATATTCATTAATTTAAAAAAATTTTATTTGGAATCAAGGTTAAATATTTCATTATGCTAAGCAATTAATCATTAAATGTAAAAAATAAAAATAAAAATAAAAATGGCCTCAGGAATCAGTATCACCATATGGAGGAATCGATCTGTGGATGTATGGGCGGCTGCGGTGAAGCTACAATTATCTGATTTCAAATAATATCTTTGATGGAATTCCAGTTAATGTTCTCAAACTTAAAAAATGGCTTTGGTTATTGCCACAAAAAAATTATTCTTATACGAAGATGGCTAATTACAGGAGCATAAATATAAGGAAAATATTATCAACTATACAAATGAATTAATGTTTTATCTTCATCCTTCCACACCCACTAAGTTTTGTTCATTGAAGCACTAAATTTCATTTATAAATCTAAATTTTATTTCTTAAATCACTAAATCTCATTGATGAATCTAAACTTTATTCAATTAAACCACTATTTTTCGTGAATCTGCTTTAATTTATTTATTAAATTATGTAACTTTCATTTTTTCTTAGCTTAGATATAGGTTTATAATTGTACAAAGAAGATGAAAAAATAGAAAAATAAAAAATAGAGTAATAGAAGATCATATTTCTAAAGTCTTCTTATTAGCCGTATTTTCTTCTTCTTATCTCATTTTCTTATCTTTATAGTATTCACACTTTCATATAAGTCAAGTATCTCTTATTTTCTAATAAAAAAAATATTTGATCTCCTCTTTTTTGTTTCATCTCTATTTGTGTTTAAATATAGTAAAAAAAAAACAATTATTTTGAGAAAAAATGAGTACTATATAATTGATATTTTTTTATGATAATTGAGTACTATATAATTGATGATTTTAAAAAGTATAAAGAAAGTACGGAGTTATTCTTTTTTATTTACAAGTTGCTCTTAAATCCTTTACCTTGAAATTAAAGGAGATTGTAGCTTTCTTATTTTGAAGCAACCAAACTATCTTTGATTTACTTAGAAAAAATATATAAATTA